AAATACCCACTTCAATTTGATGGGTCTTACTGAGTGCTCAGTGTGCACCTTCAGGCCTTTGATCCTCCATCAGGACTCTTAGATATCTTGCTTTTCAGCCAAGAAATGTGAAGCCTTGGTAAGATATTCCCTCCTGTTTGGGCTTATGGGGTCTCACTGACTCCATGATAACATGATAACATCTCCATGGCAGTGTACGTACAACCACATTGAATTAAAAGTCTGAAAGTTTGTATGAAACTTAATAAATACTTATGACCCAGCAATTTCAGTTCCAGGTTATTTACCCAAGATAAAGTAGCTTGTGAGCCAAACACTGCCTGTGTGCCTCATAAACAGGTAAACATATCAAAACAGAGAGCTGTCAGAAGCCTTCTCTCACCATCAGTGATGCCTTGGGAAAAGAAGTTTTCCTCAAAACACATGGATCTCACCAGAGATGGGCATGCTTGCTATGGATGATATAGAAGCTACTCCTAGTTTTACATAGGAAGAGCCCATGCATATCTACAGGGCCAGGACTAGAGTAAGTCAAGTGAGTTATTTCCCTCAAGTGCAAAATTTAAAGTGGTGTCAAAAAACTCAGCAGTCAACAAATATATGAAAAAGTGTTCAACATCTCTAGCAATTAGAGAAATGCAAATTAAAACTACACTGAGATTTCATCTCACTCCAGTCACAATGGCAATTATGAAAAATACAAGTAACAATAAATGTTGACAAGGATGTGGGGGAAAAGGTACATTCATACATTGTTGGTGGGACCAGTGACACTCCACATTGTGTACCACAAGAGTAGGATCCTAATTAGAATAAGTTATCCTCCATGTATGTATGTCATACAGTATGTGTACTGTCGTGTATATCTAAAAAGAGCAAATAATAAAGTGGAAAAATTAAAAACCCCTCAGCAGCCAGGTGTGATGGCACATGCCTGTAATCCCAGAGTCTCAGAAGGCTGAGACAGGAGGATCCCAAGTTCAAAGTCAGCCTCAGCAACTTAATGAGGCCCTAAGAAACTTAGCAAGACCCTGTTTCTAAATAAAATATTTTAGAAAAGCAACTGGGAACATGGTTAAATGGTTAACTTAACTCAGTGGTTAAATGCCCCTGAGTTCAATCCCCAGTACCAAAAAACAAAACAAAATCTCAGCAATCAAAATAAATCATGATAGTGCAAAATTAATAAAAACAAAGTTAATGTGAAAAAAACATGATGTACACAATACTTTCAAATAAGTCAGCCTGCCTGACCATATCCACACAGTTCTCATCATTTGCTACCCCTACTTCCAGTCCTATTGGATCCTGCCTTTTCTTAAAGTGTTAATACTTACTTGTTCATTGTGGGGTTTGGGGGGTTTTTTATTTTAAAGATATGGGTCCTCCCTATGTTGCCCACGCTGGTCTTGAACTCCTGGGCCCAAGTGATTCTCCTGTCTCAACCTCCCAAGTAGCTGAGCCTACAGGTGTGCACCACAAGATCTGGCTTCATTATGGATATTTTTGCTTTTATTTTATTTTTAAAAAACATCATATACAAATGCCATGATCTTGATTATTGAGATTTTTGGTGCTTCCTTATGTTTTACACTTTCATTATCCTAGGGCCATCAGTATGGAGCTCTTTAAAATCCTTCCTGCTATATCACCATCCCCACCAAAAAGAAATCCCTCTAGCATACTTTAAGGATATCTTTTTCTTTCTTCTTCTTCTTCTTCTTTTTTTTTTTTTTTTTTTTGTACCAGGGATTGAACTCAGGGGTGCTTAACCACTGAACCACATCCCCAGCCCCCCCTTTTTTATATTTATTTTTTAGTTTTTATTTCACAATATCTTTATTTATTTTTATGTGATGCTGAGGATCAAACTCAGGGCTGCACACGTGCTAGGCGAGCGCTCTACCGCTGAGCCACAATCCCAGCCCCATCCCCAGCCCTTTTAATTTTTTATTTTAAGTCAGGGACTCACTAAGTTGCTAAGGCTAGCTTTGAACTTGCAATACTCCTGCCTCAGCCTCCTGAGCCACTGGGATTACAGGCATGCAACACCACATTGGCTCAATGATAGCATTTTTTTCATACATGAAAGGCTTGCTTACTTACACCAAAAGCAGACGAGTAAGGGTTTTGGGTGAATTCTTGGCACAGTTCACTTAGCAGTTTTTTGTTTTTAAATATTTTATTAGTTGTTGGTAGACCTTTATTTATTTTTATGTGGTGCTGAGAATTGAACCCAGTGCCTCACACATGCTATACAAGCACTCTACCACTGAGCCGCAACCCAGCCCCAAGCAGTTTTATAAATAGGAATTCTAACAGGTTTCTGGATTCCAGAGTAAAAATTCATCAGTTAAAGTGATCTTAAATTTCTTCATTTCAATATGAGAGACTAAACTGGGTATAGTTTAGTCAGTTTAAACATGCCACTGGGGAGGCTAAGGTTGGAGGTTCACAAGTTTGAGGCCAGTCTGGGCAACTTAGCAAGACCCTATCTCAAATTAAAATAAAAACCAAACAACAACAACAAAAAAGGGCCAGGGATATAGAACCTTACACATAATAAGTACATACTTTCCACGAAGATATACCCCAGCCTTCAAAAATATAAAATAACATGGCATTTAAGGTAAATTGTAGTCCCATTTCGCAGAAAAAAAAAAAGTGAGATCCAAGGACATTTAGTGACTTGATCAAATTGATATTGGTAATACATATCATAACTTGGATCCTCAATCTAGGGTTCTGGGTTAATCCATCACTTCTACTACTATTCCATGCAACAGGATTGAATGAAGGGGAATACATATTTCATAAATGGCATACATTCTGATCATCCTCTGCCATAAAATATCAGATCTGAGATTCAAATATTTCACCCATCTCAAGCTTCGGCTACATAATGAATGCATCAATGTGCATTCCAAAAAACATTGCAAAATATACTAAAATTTTTGGATTTCTCAACCGTATTCTTAGTTTCTTATATTGATTTTGGGGGATTGTACTGGGGATTGAACCCAGGGACGCTTTAATCACTGAGCTACATCCCTAGCCCTTTTATTTTTTATTTTGAGACAGGGTCTTACCAAGTTACTTAGGGCCTCACACAGTCTCTGAAGCTGAACTTACAATCCTCCTGCCTTAGCCTGTCAGGTCACTGGGATTACAGGTGTGTGCCATGATGCCCAGCAGAACTTTATTACATTTTATGACTGAATAACATTCCATTCTGTGTATATGCACATTTTGTTTATTCTTTCATCAGCTGAATGATCAGCTTGGTTTAACACTTTGGTTATTGTGAACAATCCTACTATGAATGTATGTATACAAATTTTTGTGTGCAGAAATGTTTTTATTTCTCTTGGTAGGAGTAGAATGGCTGAGTCATTTGCTCCTTTACACTTTCAACAGAATAATGTATCATTATCTATTGCTGCATAGAAAAGTATCCCAAAACTTTGTGACTTAAGATAACAATAATTATATCTCTTACAGTTTCTGTGAGTAAAGAATTTGAGAGCAACTTCAGGTCTCTCATGATGTTGCAGACAGATGCTGGTCATGGTGGCAGTGGTCAAAAGAAAAGACTCAGCTGCAAATGGAGGATTTTTTTTTTTTTTTTTTTGTGCTGGAGATTCAGGGCCCAATACATGCTAGGCAAGTGTTCTACCATTGAACTATATCCACAGCACTGTCTATTTTACTCTGAGACAGGATTTCACTAAATTGCTTAGGCTGGTCTCAAACTTGCAATCCTGCCTCAGTCTCCTAAGCAGCCTATGTTACAGGTGGAGGATCCATTTCTAAAGTGTCTCACTCAGTCGGGCGTGGTGGCACATGCCTGTAATCCAGTTATTCAGGAGGCTGAGGCAGGAAGATTGCATGTTTGAAGCTGGCCTCAACAACTTAGCGAGGCCCTGAGCAACTTAATGAGACCCTGTCTCAAAATAAAAAATAAAAAGGGGTCTGGGATTGTAGCTCAGGGATAGAGCGCTTGCCTAGCATGTGTGAGGGGCTGGGTTTGATTCTCAGCACTGCATATAAATAAATAAAATAGAGGTTCATCAACAACTAAAAAAATGTTGAAAAATTAAAATAAAATAAAAAGGGCTGAGGATGTGGCTCAGTAGTTAAGCACCCCTGTGTTCAACCCCTGGTACCAAAACATAATAATTATAAAGTGGCCCACTCACTTAACTGGCAAGTTGGTGCTGGCTACTGGTTGAGGGACTCAGTTCTTCTCCACATGGGCTTCTCCACAGAGAGGCTTGAGTGTCCTCAATGTACCTGGCTTCCTCCAAACAAGATATCCCAGAGATCAAGACAGATGCTGCATATCTTTTAAGACTAAGCCTCAGAAGTCACACACTGTCACTGTCACCATATTGTATTGTTAACGTACATCAACACAAATTCTTGTGGTAGGGGACTAGACAAAGGAGTAGATACCAGGAGAGGAGAGGATCATTAGGAACCCATCTTGGAGACTATCTTACAAATAGGTTGATTTCAAAGTTCTGATCTGTTGTTCCTGAGATGAGCAAGTTTATATGACAAAAAAAGTACATGTCAAAGTTTATAGGATCCTGACAGCACTGGAATTTGTTTCCTCTTCTTGCATAAAACAACCTGCAGTAGAGCTTCTACCTTCAGCTGGATAATTTAAGGAGAAGGATCTTGAACGTACTATGTTATTAGGAATTAGATCAAGAACTCCAAGCTGGAATGCCACCATTGGAGTAATGCACCCTGGCATTCACCTCTGTAAGATCAACCCTTTGTCTCTCTATCTATAACATCAGAACCTTTCTGGAATGTTGTTTGGGTTATTTAATACAGTATTTAAATCCACCTTCTACCCTGAAAAATCAGCAAGTACTTACTAGGTATCTACTGTGTACCCAAGAGCAAATCCCAGGATCATTTGAGACTACTGTAGATGGATAAGCCAAAAATGCCCAGGCGTGACCAAAATAGATTGTTGTCAGACCCACCTGTCCTGAGGCTTCAAAGGCAAGGAACCGAACAGGATTTCTTTCTTTTTCTTTGAGTTGGCATTCAGAGAAGTCACAGTCACAAGAATGCTTTTAGATTTATTTTCATTTAGAAAATTCCTGAGGACATGAAAGACAAAGAAAGGTTGAAGAATAATTCTAGATTAAAGAAGACTAAAGGCGCCTGGCAACAAAATGTAAAGCTTATCCTGGATTAGCCCCTGGACTGGGAAGAAAAATAACTATAAAGTACATTAGTGGAAATTGGTGGAACTAGAACATGAATTATAGATTAGATAATAATATTAGAGCAATTTTAACTTTTTCTGAATTTTATTATATTGTATTTATATAGTGAAGCATATTTTTTGCAAGAAATACACATGAAATTAAAAAGGGACAAATGTTTCTAAAACTTAACCTTCAAATTGTTCAGGAAAAAAGCCTACAATGAGTTGGCCCTCTATCTCTGTGGGATTCATATCTTTGGATTCAACCAACCATAGATGAAAATATTAGAAAAACTTTCATCTATACTGAACATGCACAGACTACTTTCTGTGTCATTTCCCCAAAACAATACAGTATAATACAGTCTAACAATTGTATATGGTATGAAATATGTTGTTAGGCACGAAAATAGATGATTTAAAATATATAGGAAGATATGTGTAGGTTTTATGCAAATACTATGCCACTTATGCAAGGGAATTGAGCCCTTATGGATTTTGATATCTTTAGGGGATCCTAGAACCAATCCCCCGTGAATACTGAGAGATGACTATATGCAAACACTTACGTATGTGTGTGTGTGTGCATGTGTAGACAGAGGGAGAGAACAGATGCATCAAAGGTTAATAATGAATGAGGGCTGGGCATGGTGGTGCACACCTGTAATCCTAGCAGCTTGGGAGGCTGAGGCAGGAGATTCCTGAGTTCAAAATCAGCCTCAGCAACTTAGCAAGGGCCTAAGCAACTCAGCAAGACCTTGTCTCAAAAATAAAAAATAAAAAGGGCTGGGGATGTAGCTCAGTGGTTAAGCACCCCTGGGTTCAATCCCTGGTACTAAATAATAATAACAACAACAACAATAATAGGATCTCAGTGAAGGGCATACTGGAGTTCTTATACTATATTTGCAGTTTTTCTGTAAATTTTAAATTGTTTCAAAATAAGAAGTTCAAGAGAAAAGAAAAAAGACCCTCTTGAAGCTCTTCCGTCAAGGACAAGACAAAATGTGAAAGGTAAATGGAAGTCAGATGGTCAGTTGTCACCTGCATGAATGCGCTGCCACTGTCTTGGTGCTGGAGGTGACAAGTGTCTGAGTGTGTAACTCATAGATGTCAGGGACCCCAGAAATACCAAAATCTTTCACTGACCTTGGAACCCCAGAGTCAGCCCTTGAAAGTGACAGTCTCAACACATTCTAACCCTTCCCTTGGGACTGGGAACACTTTAATGGTTCCCCTCTATGTGGCCCCAGGCTGGGAAATAATACCACTCACTTGAGCTTTCTCTGCAAGATTGATTTCTTCCTTCCACTGAATTGCGGCCTGGGCCAGAAGATGAAACTTCCCCCACCCCTTTCAGGTCAGAGGCAGCCTGGCCAGGAAACCCGGGGGCAAAATTCCCAATATCTCCAAGAACATCTCAGACTTCACTTATTTACTCTGACCTGGCCCAGAGAGAAACCTCCCCAAGATGCTACTCAGTCTCAGATGTCAGGGTCCCTTTCTCCACTGGAGAGGGAAGGGGCAGGTGAGAGCCCCGCTGACATAAGAAACAGATGCTCTGATCAAGTACCAGAGAATGCCTGAGTTAAACACACTGGCCCTTCAGCCTTCAGAACTCACTATGAACTCTATAAAATAGTTTCAATGCCAGCCCAGCCTGGGTATCACCATCTGCCTGCCAGAGCCAACCCACTGACTTCCAATTAGTAGTGAGAGGAAGCGCAGAGGGCACTCAGCCCTGGGGCTTCAAAGAGGAGGAGGTCAGGGAGATTCCCCAACAAGAGAATCAATCACAGAGCCCCTGGGGAGAGAGATCTTTCTAGTTCTCATGAAAGTGGTTACTGATTCTGATGGCCTATAGCCCAGACAGCCTCCTCCTGGGGACAAAGAACTTTCTCTGCTGGCTCTCAAGCATGTGGGGGGAAGATCAGCCTCCTGCTGTTTACCATTCACAGGCCTTCCTGATTACCTGAGATTAGGCAAATAAATCACAGGCCCTAGCACATAGCAAATTTTCCATAGCAAATGCTTTCTTAGTGCTTACCAAGTTCTGTCCTCAGCACTTTATAGACAGTAACTCGTAATCCCTCTAATAACCCTATGACCTTGGTGCTCACTTGACAGATGAGGAAACTGAGGCACAGAGAATGTGCGAGTCAGCTTTTCATTACTGTAACAAAATATATGACATGATCAACTTAAAAAAAGGAAAAGTTTACTTTGACTCACAGTTTTGGAGGTTCCAGGCCATGATCAATTGGCCCTATTGCTTTGGGCCTGTGGCAGAGCAGCAGATCATGACAGGGAGCCATATTGGAACAGCCAGCTTACATCATGACACCAGGAAGCAGAGGGGGAGAAAAAGCCCAGTTTCCCACAATCCCCTTGAGGCCACACCCTCAGTGACTTAAGACCTCCCACTAGGCCCCACCTCTTAAAGGCCCACCTTCCAGTGGCCTCAAGCTGAGGACCAAGCTTTTAACATGTGGGTCTGTGGGGGACATTCCAGACCCAGACTGTAGCCAAGAGGCCAGTAACATGCCCAAAGTCATTGGCCTAGCGAATAATAAAGCTGAGGTAGGTGGGAGAAGGAGGGAAAAGATGTTGAGATTGGGGAGAAACCTAGTGTCCCCACAGTCTTCATCAGTACCCAACTCCCAGCTACTCAAATCTAAGTCAAGTCCCAGTGTTTACTACACAATTGTGGTTTCCCTGTTGGTCCATAGTTCTGTCCTTAGATCCTTCCATGTGGAAATTCCAGAACCCTTACTGGGACCATGCAAGGTCCTTTATTTGGAGAAGGAGTAAGAGGAGAGGCACTTTTCCCTCAGTCAGTGGCCTTCTTTCCTCATATAATGGTCTCCAATTTCCTTTTCCTCTTCTTCTTCTTTAAGGATCTGATATCTTTTTTTTTTATACTGGGGATTGAATTTAGAGGCACTCAACCTCTGAGCCACATCCCCAGCCCTATTTTGTATTTTATTTAGAGACAGAGTCTCACTGAGTTGCTTAGCACCTCGTTTTTTGCTGAGGCTGTCTTTGAACTTGTGATCCTCCTGTCTCAGCCTCCTGAGCCACTGGGATTACGGGTATGCGCCACTGTGCCCAGCCTGATGTCTTTATTTACACTGAGTTGTAATAAAATATGCCACTTCTGAAGGCTTATTATTTTCCCTCTTCTACCATCAATCCAGGTCCATTTTCTTTTTTCTTATTTTGGTACTAAGGTTTTCACCCAAGGGCACTTTACCACTGAGCTACAACCTCAGGCCTTTTTTGCTTTTTATTTTGAGACACGGACTTACTAAATTGCTTAGAGCCTCACTACATTGCTGAGGCTGGCCTTGAGCTTGTTGTCCTCTTGACTCAGCCTCCCAGGTCACTGGGATTACAGATGTGTGCCACCATGCCCTGGCCCAGATCCATTTTCTAGTCTTCTGTGCCCCTGGGAGTCTGACCCCTGGGGACTGACTGCATTACCCAGGTCCCTTTGCCCTCTGGCTTTTGGTTGGGTGTGGCTAGTGGGGGGCCTCCTGGGAAACTGAGGAGAACAGCGAGGAGATATTCATGCCTGCTTCAATCTGTATCACTGGGCAGTAGCTAAACCTCTGGGGCCCCAGTCCCCTTAAGGCGGCCCCTCTCAGCTCCACGTCAGTGCTCCCTTCCACCCACCCCCCCACCCCCCACCCCCGCCCTGGGGAACTGACAGCTTCCTGCTGTGGCAAGGCTGTGGCAAGGCCCAGGGTGCCTCACCCACCTTGCTGGTTCCATTTATCCTGCCCACTTCACTGTAAATATCCCTTTCACTCATTTCTTTCTTTTTTTAATTTGTTTTTTCAGTTAAGCACTTTTGAATGTGCCTTCTGTTTCCTGCTAGGACTCTGTCTGAGACAGAATGCTGCATTTTTATCAGATACAAGGTCCCTATTTGGCTTCAGCCAAAGAAATGAAGCTTTAATCATAGAATTTGGGGCAAAAGAGAGTCCTAAGGGAGAAGGTATTTTTGAAGGGGGAGGCATGTGGGTGTTTCTTAGTGCCTTGAAATCCAACTACATCAAGGCCCGGAAGCTAGTTTCTCATTAATTTTATTCTCTTTAGCCTCCTCATCCGGAGAAACGGCTGTGTTCCAGACATACTGCTCAGGATTGTGGGAACGCAGGATGATGGAGACCAGGCCCTGGGTCCCCAGAACCTCATTCTCAGGGACACTGGGTCCAGAGTGGGATGAGTGCCCTGGAATGAAATTGAATATGACAGGCAGCCAAGCGGGGCAGAGCTGCCGAGATAAGGGCCTAATCAGACAGAACAGTGGGAGAACAGCAGACAGAGGCTCTGTTCCAACACTGGGGACCTGGGAGGACCTTGCGGGAAGGGGGAGGAAGTCACACTGGACCTTGCAGGGCTGTGCAGCAAGCAGGCCCATGAGTGGAACTCAGCCCAGAAGCCACAGCAGGCCCTTCTCTGTGGCCTCCTCCAATGCCCAGGAGTTGTATTTGCTCCCCCTCTGGACTCCGCCGGGAAACTTCTTTCCCCATTCAGCTTCCACTGGCCAAGGCTTACCGTGTGCCCGCACTGTGCCAGGCTTTGAGTACGCACCGCCCTCTGATGATGGGCATTTTGTAGCTAACTAAACTGAGGCTCCGGAGCGTTCAAGTGAATTGTCCGAGATTTTATAAAAAGACACTGCAGGAACCAGGGTTTGCATTCAGGCTGTCTGCCTCTGAAAGACACCCTTGAACCACTGAATGATCCACCTTTACTTCTAACTCTTATTATAAGAGTAGCAACATCTACAACCAGCGGCTAGGGGTAAGTGGAGTATTTTGTATGGAATATCTCAGTTCATCCTCAGTGTCCCCATGAGGAAGGTCCCAGGATGATCCCACTTTACAGGGGAAGACTCCACAAGGGTTGACATCACCCCATGAAGGACGACAGCCAGGTAGTGGTGGAATCAGTGTTTGAACCCACAGGAGTGGCTCTGGGCATGAGTTCCATGTTAAGTATATTCACATTGCTGTGCAGAGACCCCTTCCAGAAGGGTCTCATCTTACAAAAGGAAACACTCCAGCCGTCAAACAACTGCCCATTCTCCCCTACCCCAGACCCTGATAACCCCAGACTACCTTCCGTTTCTATGAATTTGACTATAAGATACCTCATATCAGAGGAATCATATGATATCTGTCTTTTTGTGACAACTTTATTGCATTTAGCACAAGGACCTCAAAGGTCATCTGGGTTGCAATATGTGCCAGAATTTCCTTCCTTTTTAGCTAGAATAAAATTTTCTTATATGCATACATCACAGTTTGCCCATCCATTCATCTGTCCATGGACACTTGTGTTGCTTCCACTTTTTGGCGATTGATTTGTTGTTGCTGTCATTGTTTATTTATCTGGGGGATGGTACTGGGGATTGAATCCAGTAGCAATCCTTTTTATTTCTTATTTTGAGATGGTCTTACTAAGTTGCTGAGAGTCTTGCTAAATTGCTGAGGCTGGCCTTGAACTTGTGATCCTCCTGCCTCAGCCTCCTGAATCCCAGAGATTCAGGTGTGCATCTCTGCATCAGACCACTTTTTGGCTATTGTTAATACTTTTATGAACAAGGATATACAGATACCTCTGCTTTCACTTCTTTTGGGTATAATGTACACAAAATATAAAATATAAAGTACACAAAAGTGACATTACTGAATCATATTGTAATTCTGTGTTCAATTTTTTGAGAAACCACCATACTGTTTTTTCATAGTAGCTATAATATTTTATTATATCCTCACCAACAGGGCACAAGGGTTCCAATTCACCTACATTGTAGTCAACAAATAATTATCTGATTTTTTTTAAACTTTTATTTATTTATTTATTTTTACACATGGTAGGTAGACAAGTGCTATACTGCTGAGCTACATGCCCATCCCTTTTATTTTTTGTTTTGAGACAGAGACTTGCTGAGTTGCAGGGGCTGGCCTCAAACTTGAGATCCTCCTGCCTTGGCCTCCTGAGTTGCTGGGATTACAGGCATGCACCACCACACCTGTCTCACACATGCTAAGCATGAACTCTACTACTGAGCCACACCCACCCCCCACATACACAATTTGAACACATCAGATATAGTTGTGTCAATGTCCCTTTCACGATGCGGAACATTGCCATCTATATTGCTATCTTCCACTGTCTTCCTCCTATTTTAGCTAGGACCTCCACTCTATCCAGAGACAACCACTATTCAGAATTTTTAAATTTATTTTTCATTTTTATTTTTGGTATCAGGGATTGAACCCCTGGGTGCATAACCACAAAGGCACATCCCCCAGCCCTATTTATTTTTTACTCTGGCACAGGGTCTTGCTAAGTTGTTCAGGGCCTCTCTAAGTTGCTAAGGCTGACTTTCAACTTGCAATCCTCCTGCCTCAGCCTCCCGAGTCGCTGGGATTAAAGGCCTGTGCCACCATGCCCCACTCTGATATATATTTTTAAAATCTGTCCTAAAAGGTTAGGCGTGGTCATCTGTAATCCCAGTGACTTGGAAGGCTGAGGCAGAAGGATTGCAAATTCAAGACCAGTCTCAGCAATTTAGCAAGAACCTGTCTCAAAAACGAAACAAAACAAAACAAACAAACAAAACCAGGCTGGGGATGTGGCTCAATGGTTAAGTGCCCCTGGGTTCAATCCCCAGTACCAAAACAAACAAACAAAACAAGAACAACACAAACCTCTTCGAAGACTTCAAATAAATGAAATAAAAAAGAGTTGCCCTCCTTCTTTGTTCCTAGCTTCTTTCATTGAGTATGATGCATTTTCCATTTTCCATGCTATTCTTTGTCCATGCTGTGGTTTGTCCTCTCTCTTTCCTGGTGGGCAATATGGATGCATAGGCCACAGTTTGTTTCTCTTTTCTCTTTGGATAGATCTGTGAGTTGTTACCAGTTTGCACTATTATAAATAAAGTTGCTGTGAATATTCTTATGCAAGTTTTTTTTTTTTTTTTTGTGGTCATTTGTTTTCATTTCTCTGGGATAAATATCTTTTTGAGCATTTGTGTGTCTATTGGTGCTTAGATGCTGAAAAAAACATTTTTTTGATAAATGAACAGAGCCACAGAGCTGTGAGGTGGCAAGAGTCATCTCATATAATAAAGTGCAGCTACTTCCAAAGTTGAGCACGAATGCCAAAGACAAAGGCTGAATAAAATGAAAGGACATCTGAGGTAGGCACTTAAGGATTCAGTTAAGAATGTTGAAAGAGGACGGACTTTGAAGAAGAGCCAAAATGTAGGGACAACCAGTAGGCTTCCTCCTGCAAGGGACAGAGACTTCTCTCCCACAC